CAACGATTGCCGATCTCCAGTGATGACTCCCCACAAGACTGGGGAATCGAGACTCGCAATCCACAAAGACCGCAGCAGTGGCAGCGGCGCCGGCTCAGGCAGCAACGCCAGCAGCGGCGCAGAGTCCGAGCCATCCAGCGATGCAATAAATCGAAGCTAATACACTTCTTTCTTAATGTAGAGCGATCCACACGCACACAGCCGTGATCCGGCTGGCGTACTGTCGTACTCACAGATACATAGCCGCACACTCGCCTAGACGAGTTTCAAACGGTAAATGAGGGGCCGCCAGCCGAGCGATCCGCGATCCGTGAGATGCATCCTGCCTCGTTTTACTCAATGAAAATTCCAAATGCGCTAGACCTGCATCCGAAACTGGGTGGAGATCTTCCGCCCCGCGAGAGCCGAGCTCCAAAACCCGAACGCGGTGACTGAGACGATCTTCGGTCGGTCGGTCCACTTGGGTTCCACACAACCTCGCAGATAAAGTATCTGTGTTTCAAGAGTGAGCGTCAGCCAGTCGTCGCTTGAAGCTTCAGCGGGCCACAAGCGGATGTTGGGCTTTTTATTGAAAGAGGTGGAAATGGAGTTGGAAAATTAGGAGTCGGGACGTCTTCGTCCAATTGTAGCAGCGAATAGCATGATAGCTTTTATTATTCTTCTTATAAGCCAACTTTTAATATTTAAATGGATATATTTTATTGTAATTACCAGTCGCTAGAAACAAGTAATTTTTTTAAGATATACATTTTTTGAATTTTTATAGCGAATTAATATGCTTGCGACTATCGTATGATTTTTTGTTGTGCAGCCATTTTTCGGGGAATGGAAATGGAAATGGGAAAGTTCAACGGATTCTTTCACTGATGGCAGATTAACATACGGTCAGAGAAGGGTCTCTGGCTTTTAACTTGTGTGTCCTACTTGGCACGAGGCTGGAATCGGGCATTTTCAATGTCCGTGTCCATGTTCAAGACCATGTCATGTGCCTTCTTCTTGGCCACTTCACACAGCTGCAACTGCAACTACTGCAACTGCAACTACGTCTGAAGCTCTTGATGTTGCTGTAGATGCTATGCTGTTGCTGTTGCACGAAATCGATCAAATCAAAAATGACTTTGTGAAGTGACTAACTGCCTAACTGCCAGCTGCTGTTGCTGTTGCCTGAGCCGTTGCTGTTGCTGTTTCTGTTGCAAGTTGCTGCTGCATTGCTGTCTAACAGTAGCTTGGCTGCTTTGATTTTCGGTGCAGTCCCCCTTCAAGTCCAAGACCAAGACCAAGTCCAAGTCCAAGTCCATGAACATACAACACTTCAAAATGAAAGCACATTCCCTTGTAGAAATTTTACCGTTACAGGTACAGCGCACCCCATGCACATCAGGTCGTTTGTCCGTTTTTGCTTCATTTTTTGTTGTTATTTTTCCAGCATCATCATCATCATCTCATGATGCTGATGATCGGTCAACACTTGGCAGCTTTATGGCTCAGATATTTGCAAATCTCCAGGTTCCAGGTTCCGCAACGTCCGAGTCTCGAGTTGTTATTGTAGCTGTTCTCCTCTTGTTATTCTAGCTGATGATCTGCCATCATCTTCTTCGGAGGAAAGTAGAGATCTCCTGCTCCGTGGCTGTTTTGGCCGCGTGCCGTGGTCGTTGGTTATTTATTTGAGTCAATGAGTTCACAACTATTTTTCTATTTTCCCTAATGGCTTTTTCTTTTTGCCTCCCGCTTATTTTTGTCTAGTTTGGCTGGAAGGAAGCCCCTTGTTGTCTTCGCTAGATTAATGGTTGGATAATGTGAAGTCAGTGTATCTGCAGTGGGGTACGGGATTATTATGTTCATCAGAGCTTCATACGAGTTCAATTGAAGATTATCATTTTTTAATTAGTGTGGCGGCGGAATGGAGAGCAGCTTCGAAGTTATTGGGATTCAATCAGTATCATTGGGGGCTGATTGGGTCATATTATGCGAAGGTGGTTGTCAGCCAATGGATAAAGTTGGCGAATATGTTTCATTGTAATGACTTAAAATATAAATTATATATAGGGCAAAGAATTTTCTGATTAAGTTTATAGAAAAGTCACTAGACCAACCGACAGCACACCATGTAGTTAAATTCCAGCATATCTAATACAAAAACTTCACAAGTTCCTGTTCTATGTTCTGGCCCCATTTGAAATCCCACAAGTCAGGCACGACGTCGTATCGATTATGCATAATTTAAATGTTCAGATACAATAATTAGCTACAAGTAGACTCAGTGCAAAGTGCCATTAGTATCTTATAGATAAACGATGTACGCACGCCAAAGAAAACAAACAATTGGATAGGTTTAAGCTTAAAATCTTGAAACAGAAATTCACGAGCAGACCAAATGCTAAATTTAGATCCCCGTCTCCAAAAGCGTTTCTGCGATGTCGTAGGTTAGTCCGCTCGTGCCCCCGCACCCTCTCAACCCTACAACGGCAGCTGCTGTACATAATTGGCTCGCAGTAAACAAAAAAAGTAACATGAAACGATCGTAAACATTTATTTTCGTATTGTAGCTGCTGGTGCCTGGCGGTCGTGCTTGTATGGGTTCTAGTGCAGAGGTGTGTGTGTGTATCTGTGTGAGCGTGGAAGACCCGCCCGCCTTCGGATCGCCTTGTTGTTGTTGCCGCTGGCGAGTTTTTGTTTAAACGTTTTCAAATCGCACAGCGAATGAAAACGAAAGAAAAAATGAAACACATCGAAAGTGAGCATATAACGAAGCGCTGCCCGGCGATGCTGTCGACGTATCAGAGAGCTCGCCATTCCCCCAAGCCCCGTACTAATACCCTGCGTATTAGCTTGCCCCTCGGCGGCTCCACCGATCACACCAGCTGACTTTGGATGGCCGATGGCCGGTCGCTCGGAATGCGAGTCCGAACGTCCCAGAACACAACTTCATCCCGTTCAGTTGGGGGCTTTTATACTCTTTCAACTTTTATATTATTTATTCCTTAAAATACGGTACGGATGGAAACAACGTACATACACACCACCAATTTTAACCAATTTACTCGATTTTAAAGTACTATCAGAAAAAACATCTTAACCCAGCTAAGAATTCCACGATTGGCTCATTTAGGAATCGCTTGCTGCGTATCCAGAGACAGCTCGCACCCCGCCCCATCCAGGCCACACACAGATGACTCTGCCACCACAAACACCCAGGGCCTGGGACAGGGGCACAGCTGAGCTGTTGTTTGTCGTCGTGTTGTCGTTCGCTTCTAATTATACGATAGGTGCGCTGTGAGCCATGAAACGTGCGGGGTCTGACCTTCTCGCAGAGCCTGCCTCCAAGTACATTTGTATCTTTGCGATTGCAGCCTGGGCCGCCTTTGAGTCTAAGATCCGGGGCAGGCTGTGGCGGGCTAGGCATTTGTCTTTGAGTGGATATTTGGCTTCTTTATACTCGCAGGGGATTATTAAATTTTTAGCGTTGTCGACAAAAGGCTTCTGTAGAAGCCAGCTGTTATTAACTTTTGCGATTTTTTGTACGTATTTCATTTAACCGCGCCTAGCCTGGTCTGTCCAGGTCCGAGCCACTTGAGTTCTTGGGTGGAGTCACCGTTGGGTCATTGCCCAGCCCAGAGATAAAAAAAATGACCTAGTTTTTGAGGACGTCATGAGGAAAAAAGGACTAAATATTATTTGTTCAAAGTCTATCAGAAGAAATCGAGAAATGTTATGGAAAGTCTTGTGAAAAGTCTGCAGTCCTTAAGAATATTCTTATTTACCTTCGAATAGGTTTCTTTGGCTTTTCGTCAGAGCCACAGGCAGTAAAAATACACCTCTGACAAACCCCCATTGAAGTGCTTTCTTATCGATCCGTCTTTACCCATGTCACCATTTCCCACTACCCCACTCCACCGCAGATTAGGCAAGCTCCGCAAGAAAAAACCCGAAATCTGATATATTTGTTTTACATCTTCGGCACTAAGCTCACTCCCATCCCAAAAGCCAGAGATTTCCGCATTAGAAACAATTTTTTAATTATTATTTTCAGACGCCTACACGCAAAACCGATTCGAGTCGAATCGAGTGGATGCTCTGCTCAAATGTCAGGCTTATTAATACAACAGCGCTCTCGGCTCAAGTGCCGCGGGTAGAGGATCGATAGGCAGGATGGGGGGACTTGCGGTTGAGGTTGCGCGGATCGAGATCGAGATCGAGAGTTGAGGCCGTTGTGCATCTTTATGTGGGAGTGCGGGCTCCACTGATGACACGTCATTTTCTGGCATAGACATCTTCGTCAAAATGTGTTAAGTTGCGCTAAGAGGGAAAACAGGTCTTCGGATTCATCGGCAAAGGTGTCAGTAAAATGTCATGGAAAGCCACTAAGCTGGGAGTGTGTTTCTTTCATTTAGTTCAAATTCACAGCCTGGACCTGCTGTTGGTGGCTTAAACTTGGGCTTTGGCCACATCCGTTAGGGGAGAGAACACAAGACGAATTAAAACTAGAAATATATTTGTCAATTTTCCTGCCGCAGCTGGACTGGGTAGTTCTTGCTTTCGGCCAACGATCAATTATGGTTTTGATTTAAATCAGTCTGCTGACCCCAAAAGTTCAGCTGCGGAAACTGCAATTTAATAATTGACTGGCTCGCCATCCGAAACTATAACTGAAGCCGAAACAGCAATACTGTAAAAGCCAAACCAGGGGGCTTATTAATGCGATAACCTTGGCTGATTTAATTTCTGTTGCCTGTTGCCGGGGCCTATGATTATCCAGCAACAACAGCAACCCAAACTACAACGAGCGACTTCCATTACAACAAAAGGAAAATCAAAACTTGCACAATTTCGACACTAAACGACCAATGTCTTGGTGCCTCCGAGCTGCCAGTTAGTCGCATATTTAATTAAGAGATTGAGTAGCGCAAATAGTGTTGAACAATGGCCAGCGCAAGTTGCATCTACACTGAAAAAACAATATGGAAGTAGTAGTACATTTTCCGGATTCTTACATTCACGTAGTAGCTTCTCCCCCTCCCATCACCTTGAAATTTTCCAAACATATTGAATACCGGGGAGAATGTCTCGGGAACTTATGCCGTATCCCGAGCCGGAAAAGATATTCCTGGTGGCCTACGAAATGAAGGTGCCTGAGGGCGCCAGCCCCAGGGGCCTGTTTCCACTCGTGACCCTCAAGGCGGAGCACCTGAAGGTGCGTGGCTACATAACCCAGACGCACTGTGGACGCAAGGTTGGCGGCGAGCTGGAGGGGAGCGAGGAGGACCTTAAGCAGATGGTAGAATGGCTAATGGGTAAAGCTCGCCCGAAAGAGGACGAGGACGCCAGTAGCCAGCAAATGGCGGAGGTACGGTTCTCCCCGTGGAAGCTTCAATCGGGTGCCAAGTACGCCGATTTCTTTTACTGTTGATTGAATTTATTAAAATTTCAAATAAATTTCGTTGGACCCAGAAGTTTGGTTTCGAGTGCATTTTCATCTCATAAACCATAAAAATCAGTGGCGGCTGTTGGCTGCTGCAGTTGGGCCATTGAACAATGGATGACTTGGGCTGACTTTTCAAAGTCAAAAACGCGATTGTATCATCGCTTATTTTCGGGGCGCGCTCTCTGTCGCTGATTTTCCGAGCTCAGCTATGGCAGATAAAAGCGGAGACTTGGGGAGCCGAGGAAACAATCGAATCAATTCATTTTTCTAGGGCGTACTGTGCCACTTGAACGTTGAACTGCAGACGCCCCAATGCTGACTACCGCTGAGGCTTTCCGTCTCCGCGCGGGCCGAGTTTTCCATTGTTTTCCGCGGCATCAGCACCAGAAAGGCAAAAAGTAGCACGGCAGCCAAAACCCTCTTGGTCTTGATCGTGCCCCGGCACTAGTCATTTTAATTTTTCAAGATTTTTCCAACTCGCGCTCGCTATTTTGTCTTTTATGCATCTGCGGGTTTCGAAATCTGAACTCTATAAATCTTCGGTGCCTGTGTGTTAGATTTATGGGTTATGGTCCGAATGGGAGCGGGCTAAGCCAAATGTTCTGAGCGGGCTAGGCCCCTCCCTGTTCCCTGCCCCATAGTACCTGTAGCGCCCCAAAATCCGTAATTCAATTAGAGCTAAATGCTGTCAACATTCAGTCACTAATAACCCCCGAGAGCTCGCAGGAGATCCGAAAAAACAAAACCAAGAGTGTCGTCTGGCCTGTGTCTGTGCCACAGCCATAATGTTGCATAATATTTTATACATGCAGAGCTGGCAGATTGCAACATGTTGCCATGTTGCCGTGTTGCAGCTCCGACTGCGACGCCGGCTGCTGCCGCTGCTGATGATGATGATGCATAGCCCCAAGAACCGCAGAGACAGCACTAGCGCTTGGCTGCGGCTGTGGCTGTGGCGCCCCTCCCAGAAAATCCTGAAACCTTCGCAGACATCCAGCTGTGCTGCCCGCTTAAAGTGTGTCGAATACTCAAGTGAAAATTTGTGCCCCAGCCTCAGAAAACCCGCTGCGATATATCTAGGAGTCCTCCAAAGTGCGGCGCTTCGATTTGAATTTGTAATCTTTCTTGGTGTTGGTGTGCGAATGTGTTGCCTATCGGTCCATGCATGCCATAATACCTTTTGAAAAATATCAACATTTTCAGCTGAGCTTTTCCACTAATTTCCACTAAATCTTAAAGACTGGCTATCTTAAATTTTTGGGAAGAAATATGTACTTGCAAATGTGGACTCGGAAAAGAAACTATTTCCTTTTGTCGCTGTGCACATGCATAGAATCTACTTCTCGGATACATAGGTGGGTTGCCGGAGTCTCGGTCTCTGGACTGCCTCTTTTTTTTTGTTTTTATTTTTTAGCTTTGGGTCTCACTCTGGTATGTACTCGTATTTGATTAGACGGCAAAAGGCGACGTCGGCAAACTTGATCGCGTTGCTGCTGCTGTTGGGGCTCTGCTGCTGGGCGATGTTGTTGCTTTGGCTCTTTAAGTCGAACAATTACATTTTAAGCGTAGCACAACCTTGGAAACCGTTATATTTTTGCAGTTGCTTGGGCGTGTGTTCAGTGAGTAACCCAACAAACATTCGAGGATAAATGTGGGTTTGGGGAGGTGACTTTGTTATCCCAAGCCATTTTCCTTGATCCCATTGAACGGCTTTCGAGCAGAATTCTTGTGCGGCAGTTACATTTTATATATAGATTTCTTTCCCTAATTATTAACCTATATTAAATTTCTATATTACCTGAACTATATAGGTATGAACTATATAGGTATAACTAACTATAGGTATCCAAAACCTATTTATGGTCCTTTAATTATCTCCATAATAGCTGATTTAAAGAAAACTAAGAGGAAACATTGCATTAAAGCTACATTGTACAGCTTCCCATTAAGGGACTTGATGTAAGCCCCAGCTTCTCCAAAATGTTGATTTGGTTATGGGTCGCATAGACCGCTGGGCTAAACACGACAAAGCAATCTGCAAACGTCGCTGCGGCTTCGACAGCCGACAGTCGCCCCGATCGGCCAGTCAGTCTCGGATTCAGTCTGGGACTCAGGCCCAGACCCGACTCGAACTCGAACAGAAAGCTAGACCAGAGACCGTAGACCAGACCTGGCCAAAAGCGAGTCAACCACACCCGCACACTTCATTATTTTTATGTCGCCTGTGGTGGTACGATTTAAACGACAAACGCGGCAGCCGGCGAGCAGACGTTGGCGAATGGATCGCAAGACTTCGGAGCTGGCCCAAGACACGACATCCAAAATAACTTCCCCCGATCTTACAAGCCCAAAAAAGAGGAAAAAACAAAAAGAGCCAAAAGCGAGCCAAAAAATTAGACGCATTCGACGTTTTGGAACGAGGGACAAGTCAAAGTAGCAACAGACCAGGCACAAGCTGAGGTCCGCTCCTCCAGCAGCTGCTCCCGTCTCTGTTCCTGGAACGCCGGGCACGTTGCTCCTTTCTGTGGAGCCCGGGCTAGGGCCCATCTCATGTTGATGTTACAATTGCTGCTTCGTTCATTGCATCTTTGGCTTTTGGTTTTCGGCTTGGCATCGACAGTTCGAGTGTGCCTAGTGGGTTCGGAAATTTGTAGCGCCCCAAGCCGAAAAAAGGCAACAACAATTACACACAATTACAACAAAAAGAGTACAGAAACAACACTGACAGGAGAGAAGGCGTAACTTATACAACGCGATGCCTAGCAAATGCACTCTGAGAAATTTCAACGTATTTGTTTTTCTTTCAAAAATAATGTAGCACAACTAGGCAGTTTCTCCAAGTGCAGCTTGAACTAACCTCCATGAAAAGATGATGAAGTTGTGGCAAGTGCGGAGGGGGACGCAGGGTAGGCCAGTGTAATGTATCTTGATGTTTAAATCAATAATAACGCCGTCGGTGTGCGTTTGCTTTTAGCGAATTTTTATCGGCTTTTATGTCGAGGGCACGGGCGGACGAAGAAACCGGCCAAGTCAGTAAGGGAGTCGGAGCCAAAAATTCTGAAACTCAGTCAGTCGGCCAGTCTACGGACTGCGCCTGCACTACATCGAAACTACAGCTGGAGCACAGATTATTGTTATTATTACTGTGGGGAATTTCAATATGCGGCCGCCGTTTGCGCAGATTATTAAGGCACGAACAAGAAAATTACATCGATGACTCTGACGACGAGGCTGCTCAAAGTATTTTCATAATTATTGCCATAGGCTTGCTCTGGTTTCGATCTGGCTTTATCGCGTATCTGAGCCAGTGTCTGCATCCGCACTGTTTGGGTGAACGTTGGCACGCCGCCTCAGTAGGCCGCCTTTGGAGCCACGACTCTAGTCGGGAGTCTACGCCTATTCGTCTGCTGATTTCCCAGTTCTCCAAGAATTATTCAATTTTTCCCCATTTTTCGTCCGATTTGTTGTGTTTCTTTCCGTCTGGCCTCTATTGTTCAGTTAGCTCCGCTGAAGAGCTGACAGCCGCTGGCGGAGGTTTCTGCCGAGAATTCCGTGTTTAGTTGTGGGCCGAATTGTTTCGTAATTGTAAAATATGTTGTCATGTTGTAACTGCTGCTGCCACGGATGGGATGCGACAAATGTGTGTACAGTTAGCCGAGGGCTGCGGCATCTGCACCACTTGCGGGGGCGGCAGGCCCATACAAGTGCTGCGAATTCTCGCTTTATTTTCGCTTCGTCAGGAAGAGGAATAGTTTGGTTGGCTGCTTAGGAATTTTTTTTATACAAAATTGGAAAATTGGTTTGGGACAATTTGGCAGTAATGCTTTTGCTTCTTACGCGCATCACTTCCAACACGTGTGAGCTCCTGCAGTTTTCAGTCGCCTGGACCACTGTGCGTATGCGCGATGTCCAAGCCCATTCGTTGCGCATACGCCTTGCATGCCACACGACGGCCATCCCGGCTCGCATTACCAAGCCATGAAACACATCAATACCACATACCCAGGCAAAAACTCACGGCACAGACACTCACACCGACGCAGGCACGTTTTAGAGCCCATTAACGAGCCATTGCAATTTAAACTGGATCGCTCCATTGGCAATTTGGAGCGTTGCTTTTATGCAACACACAGCATAGCAGACTGCTGCACCCTGCGCCCCCACTTTAGCATGCCCCCTTTGTCCCCCGCCACTATCTGGATGGATAGTTTGAACAAACGTATATTTCGGCTTGCCGTTTTCGGGGTTGAGTGGCCTCTGGTCCGGTGGGCATCGCATCTCATCGCTTCCCCAAAATAGGACCGGAGTTTTCAGTCTGCGGCTTTAGGTTCGCAGAGTAGAAAATTTTATAGTAATAATTCTGTGCGTTCTTGAGTATTACGTTGTGTTTCTTAGACCAAGCAAAGATACAGCAACCTCCACCACGCCACTGAGCAAAAGAATGAAACCTTTTATATCTTTAAGACACATCATAATATAATAATAGTTGGGGCACAGAATTAAAAAAAAATTGTTATTTTATATGGTGCATAGTTTAGTTTGGTAATTCTCTGTTCCCCTGGCTCATCCGTTTGAAATAACTCGAAAGTCTCCTTTTATCCCTGCTTCTTTTTTAACGTGTATGTGTGTTTAGTATTTCTGTTTGGGGCAAATAGCGAAATGTGGCTATATGAGCCCTGCTTCGTTAGATATAGATACCACTCGATATTCGCTGCAGTTCGTACCGGCTGCAGTTTCAGTTTAGAGCTTGCAGCCTGCTGACTGCTGACTGCCCCACCCTGCGCACCACCCCCAAATCCCCTCCTCCTGGGCCTGGCATGCCTTCCTTGAGAGATAATCAGGCAGTGGCCTCAGAGCTGCGGCTCGGTTGCATCGAGCTGGCCGGATGGCAGTCGCTGTTTTTGTTGCTGCTGCTGCTGCTGCGCCTAATGCAAAAATTCGATCAGCTGCATTTTGCAGATCTCGACCCATATTTCTGCTATATATAAAGTTAGCTGTTGTTGTTGTTGTTTTTTGGTGGTGGTGCTT